AAACGTTTGGGGATGCATCGAGTTAGTGGTTCGATGCTGGAGATCACGAATACTATGGCAGAGATTACGGGACAAGGTACGTTTCACAAGGTCCCTCTGACTCTCCGACCTGGTTGCGAAAACAAAGTCCCAGCTTTATATTCCCTTCGATAAGTGAAATCGCTTGTTTCTCGTCTGCAAGGTTGTTAGCTTGATGCAATTCTGACGTATGGCTCTCAGGTATAGTCTGGCATTATTTGGCTAAGTACAGCTCAGACTGTTGGGTATATACTAAACCCGAATTTCGCCCGATACTATTCCTCAATCTGCCCTAACCCTGTTATACTCTTGTTTACACAACATATCCTTTTCTTTTATGCGTCACAAAAAGGAATTTACAACTACGAGGAGTATCTACTTGTTAGAGAGCGAGAAGAGGACGGACTTTCTGACGGCCCTGCTGGTTCTGGAGTAGGACTGACTCTGCGGCGCGGCCTCTCTGGAGGCGGCGGAGTTATCGGTGGCGGTGGAGCTGGGGGTAGCGGAGACAATGATGGCACTCATCTGTCTACCGGCATGGCCACCCTGCTGCGCGACCAAGATAAGATGGATCGCTTAAGAAGGAAACTTCATACTGACGACGATCGTAAATGCCTTTGCTATCTTTTGTAACTGCTAAACTTAAAGCATTCGCTTTATCATTCTTTTTTTCCACATTTTCCTCGTGCCTTCTTCCTTACTTCTAGCTTTCGTCACCTTCTGGCCACCCACCCACTCTTTATCAGTTTTATATTTTATTCTAGTGCACAAAATAAGGATAGAACTTATTCCATCCTCTTCTGCATCTTCTAAGACTATTCGTTGGTGTCCAAATAGGTAAAGAGTCTATACAATTAATTGATTTCCTGCCAGAACCTTTACATTTATCCCTTCAATTTTACGCACCACTTTGCCTCTACTTTTGACGACCTCATCTTGTTGCATCCCCGAATTACAATGAATACTAATATATAAAATATAATTTTATTTACATATACTAAAGTAAATTTGTCATTCCAAAGTGAATCTCAATATTATCTTGGCGTCAAGCCGGATAAACGGCACCGCCCTCTCCTTGCTAGCCATCACATAGACCATGCTGAAATATTCTGAGGATCAAGAGTAAAGACGCAATTGACGCTATTTATATTATGAATTTTTTCTTTCCGGTATTTATGACTCTACACGCACAAGCTATGCATTATCCTGTTCATATCTTTATTATTATTAATGATTGCAACTTAGTGAAGGAAAAATATTGTTTGTAGATCTATTTTATTGTGAGACTTATTCAGACAGCAACCCATTGAAATAGACTGTTCATTGTTGCCAAGTTAATTGTTTCAGACATTGAAGTCTGCCTTAGTTTGCATTTATATCAAGTGTGTTGGTTGCAAAAGGTCAGCTTGTACGTTGACTCATTTCCGACGATTTAGTTTCTTCTATATTCGCAGCAAAACCGAGCTTGCTGGTTACATTCTTACATAAATCAATAGATAATTAATTTTTCTCTGAGTGTCAGTGTTAAAATATCATTTCCTGAATATCGCACATACTAGGGCTATTAAGTAGGGGATTATTATATTGATTGATTTTGTGATCTGCTTTTGCTATAAATATTATTCTTGTTACTGTCATTAACTTTAATAAGGCCTGATTAACTTCTTTTTTAGTAGCTTTATTCAGGAATAAACCTTTCTATAGATTTAAAAGGGATAATACCGTTAATCATCACGCGAATATCACGTAAATATCACGTACAGTTAGGCCATTTTACAGAGCAGAAACTAAACAATTTCTAACTCGGGACGTTGCAAGCTATGCTCGTGCCTACTTCGATGAGACCTGTCGGCCAATACGTTCATGAGCATATGAAAGCTAGAATGCCTTAAAAGATCTATGCCATGGTAGAACAAGAGATGGAACCAGGGTGGGTTCTAGATTGTTATCGAACCGATCAGAGTAACTATGTAAGCAAGCGAGCATAATAGATTAATTGAGCCT